CTGGTGTGGTGGCTCATGCCTTTAATTCCAGCACTGAAAAGGCAGAGGCAGGATGGTTTCCAGTGAGTTTGAGACCAGCGTGGGCTACACAGGGAAACCTTATTTCAAACAAGCAGAGAAAAGGATGTAGCTTGGTACAGTGATTGCCTAACATGCACAAGGCCCTGGTTTACTTTTGGCACACGCACACACACACACACACACACACACACACACACACACACACACATGCGCATGAACCTATCTTTAAGGTCTGTGTGTCACTTTACACTGGCTGATGAACCAACAGAAATGGCTGGGAAATACAAACTAGTACTTGCTATCCCGACACGAGGACCTGTCTCTGGGTGACGGACACCCGCAGAAGGGATGAGAGGGAACCAGGCCCAGCAGCGCAGGAGAGGAAGGGAAGAGCCCTTGCTGGCCGGCCACTCTGGCCAGCATTGAGATCCAGGTTCATGGAGCGACACTGGGGCCAGAGAGATGGCTTTGCCCCGAAGAGCACTTGCTGTTACACAGGATCAGAGTTCAGTTCCCAGCACTCAGAACTGCCTGTAACTCCAGCTTCAGGGGGCTGGCTGGAGACCCTCTTCTGGCCTCCTCAGGCACTTGCATGTGTGTGTGCATACTCACACCAGAACACACACATAACTAAAAATTAAATCTTAAAAACAAGAGTAAGATGGAGGGCGACTGAGCTTCTGATGTCAACTTCTGTTCTGCAAATGCACAGCACCCTTCCCCTCAAATGAAAAAGAATGAAAAGTCATGGTTTTCCTAACGTCTTGACAGATACAGTCAGGCAATCCACCGCATATATTATTACACAGTAAAAGAGCATTTATTGATGGTGGGGGTGGGGGTGGGGGCGCACGCCTTTAATCCCAGCACTTGGGAGGCAGAAACAGGTGAATCTCTGAGTTCGAGGCCAGCCTGGTCTAGAGAGTGAGTTCCAGGACAGTGAAGGCTAAACAGAGAAACCCTGTCTCGAAAAACAAAACAGAAAAACAAAACAAGAGCATTTGTCTGTGAACAGGCACGGGCTTTAAAGAGAGTGACTACACTTCAGCTCTGAAAAAATACGTATGAAGGAGGACTAAGTTCCAGAGTTAGAGAAATGATAGATTACAGATAGGATCTCACTGTAGCCCATGCTGGCTTCCAATTCTCACCAGTCCTCCTGCCTCAGCCCAAGTGCTGGGATTACGGGTGTGAGTTACCATGTCGGCAACTGTTACAATTACCTGGACTTGGTCCGTGGGAACAGCGACCTGACTGCCGCTAGGTTGAACACAGAGAAAAACCACAGAAGGAAGACTTGGGTAAGGGTCCAGAGCAATGGAATGCGGATCCTGCAGCACATTTAGGTTCCTATATTTAGAAACAAGGATTTCCTCCATCCCCATCGGCCTTTTAACATTCATGGCACTTACTTTAAAATTATAAAAATGAGCTAGGCCTGGAGGCCTAGACCTGTGATTCCAGCTACTTGGGAGGCTGAGGCAGGAGGATGACAAATTTAAGGCCTGCCCAGAATACATAGTGAGTATTCCCAGCCTGGGAGACCTAATGAGACCTGGTCTCAAGATTTCAAAGAGAGCTGGGGACACAGCTCAGGGGTAAGACACTTGTCCAGTGTAGATGAGGCTGGAAGTTCAAAGCCCAGTGCTGAAAAAACTCTAGGTACGTACATACATTACACATACCCACCTTCCTAAGTGAACAGCAATGACTTCCCTCCACCATATCCATCTTTCTAAAACGGCTGACTCATTCAACCAACAGCACTGTGGACCAGTGTTCTCAACCTTCTCCTGCCTCAGCTGCTGTTACTCCATGATAGGAGAGGAACGTTGACGTGCACTCTTCACTCTCAACAAGATGTCCGGATTTCACAATGCAACAGATAAAATCAACTGGCATTATGCAAGTTTTCCAAGTCCCTACCTGTAACGCCATTTCTGCTGTAAGGATGTTTACTGAGCACTTACCATCTGCCAAGTACCCAGGTGCACTGCATACAGCAAATGACTTTCGTTCCCATGGGAACCTCTGAGGTCAGTAATAAAATGATCCTTGAGAGGACAACAAGCCACAGAGTTTAAGGAACTCCCCTCAAGATCACCAAGACCGAGTGACAGATCTTGGGATCAAATCTGGGTCACGTGGCCCTTGACCCGCCACTTTATTCGGAATGCACATGAAGAAAATCATACAAAGGATTTGTTCTAGCATATTGCTATCTACTATATACAAACGGCATCTTGTTATTAAAAGTGAAAGTGTCTCACCACCACAGGTGTGTCTGGGCGTTCTGCACTCTGGCCCACATTGATCCACCTCCAAATGGCCCTGAGACCTCACTGCTCTCCCATTCAGAATTATGGAAAGTCTAAGTGTGGCCTTCCTATTACTTTCCAGTGAAACTTTGTTCACCCTAAGATTATAGGATTGTGGGAGAGCCACTGACAGTCAGCCCCAGTCTTTTGATATGAAATCCGCTCCTCTAATGAAGAAGGAATGCCTATTTGGAGAGCCAATTAAAACTAATTAGAAGTTTTAAGTACTTCTAGGCACTTCAGCTAGAAAATGAAGTTCAAGGTGAAGGAACTTCATTTTCAGAACTGCACTAATGAGAACCAATTTAGATTCTTAAAGGTCTCTCTTCCTGTACAGACGGGATCGACAGCAGAAACCAACGATTTATGAATCACGATGTGTGCGGCTTCATGAGTGACAGAGTTGAACAGAATGGACAGAAAGCTACACCGAATACAACTTCCGAGGAAAGCCATCCCATTTGGCTTCTGTCGTGCTCTCTTCAGCAAGGAACTCCTGACGGGCAGTCTTGTTCTGAAAATCAAACTTAGTTCAATTTTAAAATCTGAGGGTGACTGCAATTAAAAATCGCAGTTTTACAGCAGCCTTGGTAGACGCTGCTTAAAGACGAAGACTTGTAATGCCACCTACAGGGGGCCTTTAGAACCACAGCCCTAGTTCTCTGTCCCATCCTCGGAATTAATATCCCCAAATCTCACTCATCAGGACATTTAACCAGAAAGCTCGAGGAGAGGGTGACAAAGAAATAAAAAAAGATCCACCACCGGTTTGGATTATTACTTCTTAAAGTAACTGAAACCAACCTAATTTCACCATCTACAATCGACAGACACACAGCAATAAAGCATAAGACGCAGTTATGCAGCCACAAAGGCCCCTAAAGTTCTTCACAGAACATGGAGGAGACTCAGGTTATTGGTGATGAATTCTGAAATTTGCCTCTTTGAACTGTAGAATCCCTCCTTCTCATGCCCTCTCTGCTCAGATTTCTCTATATTTTCAGACACTTGGACAGTGATTGCAGTTTCTAAAGTTGTTCATAAGGTTTTTAGATTCAGCTGTGTGTGCAGGACAGGCCATTTCATCTCTAAGTGTTCTTCTCCCTTCTGTCTGCCCTCCCTCTTGGGAAGTCGACACACACTTCTTTATGGTCATGGTTCTCAATGTAGGATCAACATTAAAGCTATCTGGAGTCTTTCAATAATAACATCACGCCTCTTGTTTAATTGGGCTTGGATGAAGCTTGGGCATAGCATAGCTTTGGCTTTTGTTTGCTTCCACTTTCCCAGGTGACCTCACCGTGTAGGATGGTTTACGAAACACTGCCCCAAAGCAGGGCTGCAACCCTTGCCAGCTGACTTCCACCTGCATTCTGGAAGTGGTTTATGGGCCCCACTGTGCGCAGCAGCCGAGCCTGCTGCTTGTTCAAGAGGATCCTGATTCATCTCTAGCAATTTCCTTAGACACTAGCAATGTGTGGACAGTTGGGATGTTCTGGCTCATGCCCAGCTATCGGCATCCTCATCCATCTGTTGCACCTGCTTTTTATCTTTGAGATGTGGTCTTGTTACTATGTGACCCGGAATGACCTTGAACCGATGATCCTACTGCCTCCAGCTTCCAAGTGCTGGGGTTCCAGATATGCACTGGGCAGCTCTCTCTGGACATACACATTGCTGCTAGGTCTTCCAGGTCCCAACTCACAGATCACTTCCCAGGCTGGTAGAGTCCATCTACCCCCTGCTTTTGTGCTCACAGCAGTCCAGTTCGGCTCCAAGCTCTGGTCTAAAACAGTCAAATCACTCTTCCAGGTTAACACGAGCCTGAGCACAGAGACGCTGGTCTCCCTTCGCCTTCAGCAAATCCCAGTTACCTCCCACGCCCTTCTTCTGGTGGTTCCCAAGTACAGGGCCCTGATCCACTAACAGGCCCCAATGTGCCAAATACTGAACCCTTCCAAAATTGAGGTTCCCCCAGGCTTCTCTGTGTGGAATGCAGTTGGTGCCTGTGTTCTCTGGAGGGGCACCCCTCGGTGAAGTCCTGCACTAGAGCTCGGTGTTGGCCTCATTCCAGAACAGGGAATTTTAAGATCCCCTTTCATTCTGCTACCAATTACTTAAGTCCAGTCATTCCCGTAAGTCAGGTCTCCAGAGGCAGTGACTGCGGAGGACAGGTTAGGGAGTGGGTCTAGCTAGCAGGGAGGACAGGCAAGCAGGGTGTGGTTTCCAGAAAACTGGCACTAAGTTGTTCTTTGGGCTAAGCCAGTTGGACTGCATATGTAGAGTTCTGAGGAGGGAGGAATAGAAAGTGGAGCGGGTGGGAAGGGTGTGGGAATCTGAGGGTGTCTAAGGTCAAAATATTTGCTTAGGAGCTCTGCGCTGTGGAGCAAGCTGCCAAGTGTAAGCTGTTACCTCCCAAGCATCACACCTTTAGCCTCTACTAACTGCCTGGGGCAGACTGCCTCAAGAGGTGGCACATACGAACACAGTACTTTGAAAAAGTAACAGCGAGCAAGCTTTAAAAACCTAAGAAAGCTCCCACACACAGTACGGTCTGAACTCTGACTCTGGTCTCAAAGTCTCTACATGGAGCCGCTACTGCTTCCTGGAAGGCTCCAAATGTTCATCTCTTCAAAGTCATTTTGGAAGCATTCAGAGTCACAAGGTTTCAAAAACATGTTTATTTCAACACATGAAATGTGCCATCTTGCACCATGACTGTAAATCCCAGAATTCCATCTGGTTACTACTTTTTTGGAACCGATGGTGGTGTTCAAGTCACTGACAGATTAGTTCATGTGAGCAGGTGATTATTAGAACAAAAACTGGAGACAACGTAGTAAAAACCATGTGATAAATGTGCACTGAACTAATTTTTATTCAAAAGAGCAAAACAAAAAAAAACCAAACAAACCGTTTCGTGTAAATGTGATGTCTTAATATCGGTATTTTAAAAATCAGATTTTCTTGGCTAGCATTCACGAGAAAACTGCTGGACCATGTGAGCACAGACACCCGTAAGTGGCTTTCTTTTCTCAGGCTATCCTTTGGAGACAGCATCTGTCTTAGTGACCTACTGGAGGACCCCTAACTCTCGAAATCACTCCCTACCTGTGAAACGAAAACTCTGACCAGTAAAGATGCAAGGTAATATTTTCGATTTCTTTTAAAAGAACACGTAAGTATTAAAGGTATCAGGAAAAAGAAAAAACACTATTATACAACTATGTAAAAGTATGACTGTCTTTGAAATTCACCTGAAAGACAAATGAAAATTTACTGCTTCCAAGTTAAACATAATCATACAGTAAGAGATAACTATGATGACTAATTGGGCCGAGTTATCTCTATTTTCGCTTTTTCTTTCTCTCTTGAGACAGGGTCTCATTATGCCTGGAACTGGTTCTGTAGACCAGGCTGGTCTGGAACTCAGAAACACGCCTGCTTCTGCCTCCCCAGTGCTGGGATCAAAGGTGTGCGCCACCATGACCAGCCCTCAAACCATTACTATACAGTAACAGATAGATATCATTAGAAATTGAATCAACTTATCTCTAGTTTCTTGAAAATGTACTGAGTCAACCATGCTGCTTTAGAACTGAGGCTAACCTCAAATTTATTTTTATTTGAGTGATCCCAATGTTTCTTTTAAGCAGACCTTGGTGCTGAGCTAAGTAACCCAAGTTGGATTGCAAGTGGACTGCAGGCAGGTGTTTCACACTGTGGGCAGTCCGTGGTGGTCGTCATCCATGTACCAGATCTCTAAGGACATGCTGGAGAAACTGTAAATGCGATCTTCCCATGCTGTATGCGCATGCTCCGTTCACATCTTCACCTTACCCAGGATGTTAGGAGCGTGGGTAAGATGGAAAAGGGTTTCATGACGGCAGTTTCTATAAGGAAAAGGGGGGGGGGGGGATTGAAACATTAATTTCACATCACCAACTTATTTATTAGGTATTTTATACTATGTGTACACCCAGTAGTGGCTAAATGCAATTCAAGTGACTAGATGTGTGCAATGTTTAGAGGTGGTTCTTAGCTGGCATCTAAAGCAATCAAGGAGAAAACAGATGTATGAATATCACCAAAAACCTCTGTGCTGCAAAAACTACACTACCAAAAAATTCAGACACCCACAGAATAGGAGAAATTTGCAGTCACATATCGGGTATCAAGAAGCAAAGGAGTCTTAGAATATTAAAGGCAACTCCATTTGAAACTGGGAAAACATTTCTCTAGTGCTATATAAGATACTGAATATCATTAATCATTAAGAAAAAGAAAGCAAAAACTGCAATGAGATCCTACTCCACATCTACTACAATAGCTCCAGTCAGGACAGATGGACTGAAGCAGTGTTGGTGAGGATATGGCCGTGAGGGAGCCCGGCACACCAACGGTGAGAATGTCAACAGTACAGCAGCTCTGCAAAGTTCGGTCACTCATCACCGTACCTCTGCAGCCTCTAGACTCAGACAGACCCAGGACTGGAAAAATGTGCACACACAAGAATGTTCACAGCGGCATTACTCCTTACGGGTAAGAGGCAAATGGGAGAACGTTATCAGCTGATGAATGAGTGAGTGGATAAGATGACCAGAATCATACACAAGGATGTGAATCAGACAGAAAGGAGTATAAGGTGAAGCAGGATACACGGAGGAACCCCGCAAACACTTTGCTGAATGAAAGGAGAGACCGGAAAGGACACACAGTGAGATTATACTGTAAAGCACACAGAACGAGCAGTATGCAGTGAAGACTAGCGTCCTTTCTTTTCTGGGTGAGGAGAACACTTAAAATTAGAAAGTGGTGCTTTATACAACTCTGAATATACTAAGTTACCAAGATGTATGCTTTGAAAAGGGTAAATTTTATGAAATGAGAATTATATCAATTTGAAAAGGAAATAGGTCTTTGCAAAATCAAAACAACCCTTTATATTCAAAATTATATAATTATATATATATATATATATATTATATATTATGCCTCAAAAAAAAATCTTTTAAAATAGTACAGCGGCTTTAGCAAACACTGCAATTCCTTAAGGCACAAAGTGTATTTTCTTTGCCCTTTTAGCACATTCCACATGAACACCAACCAACCTAAATTGTAGTCCTCTTACCCTCCTTTCCTTAGACTGAATTTTAACACCACTTCTGGTCCCTAAAACTCTATGGCTAGAATCCTTATCGTCAGCAAACATGGTAAATAAATCCAATCATTGCAAAATCATCAGAAAGAAGTGAAGCTTACTAAATTTTAGCCTTATCAGCCCAACTGAGGTCTCTACCCTATGGCAGTCCCAGCTCCAAACCAGTACACAAATGGAGACACCATCCTCCCCTCCACAGGCCTGTGCGGCAACGGAGGCAATCCACATAAACGTTGTGGCAGAGAAAGAACGCAACAGGGAGCCACATATCAAGTCCCACTTAACGGGGGGACTTTTCTACAGATCAATCCACCCATTGCCGTTGAAAAGGAAAAGGAGAAAGGCGGAAGTTCACAATTACAACAGGCCTTTTAAACAGTCAGAGAGAGAAAGGGAAGCTACAGAGAGCCAATCGCTTGACTGAGGTTGTGTCTAGTGCCGTCATTTGGGAAATGCCCCTCCAAGGCCTGTGTGTCAGAGGCTTGGTCCCTCGCATGAGGCCCTTGGGGAAACAGTAAGAAGTGAAGTATAATGCCAGGTCTTCTGGGCGTGCCCCTGAGGACAAGCTTTGGACCCTGCTCCTCCCTCTCTCTCTTCGTCCTCGGCCAGAGGTGAACAGGTCTCTTTGGTCACGTTCTCGCCATCACCTGCAGCTTGCTCACAGGCTCAACAGATAAGGCTAACTAAATCCAGGACTGAAATGGGTCAAGATAAACATTTCTGGATTTCATTATCTTAAAGTAACTGCGGATGGACACAGCCGTTTAATTTACAGCTGAGAAGGACTTTAAGAGGGCCCAGCAGACTGGGGGTTTAGCTCAGTGGCAGACGGCTTGCCTGTCGGGTGCAAGGGCCCCTTCCCCTGCAGGGCAGAAACATATTTTTTGAGATAGGGTCCCACCATGTAGCCCAGCCTGACCTCCAACTGCATACATAGCCTTGTACCTCTTGAGTTCTGGTTGTGACCAAGAACCCAAGGCACGACAGGTGACGGAAATCTTGAGCGCCACGGTCTGCGGCCACTCAGTCACCACTGCTATTTCACTATGTAGAGGTGAACTGGACAGCACCTTAGCCCACAGACAAGGATCAGCTGGTGAGATCTCTGAGTGTGAACAACTGTGAACGCACGTACTGATTTCTTCCTTTTGATGTATATAATATGAATGTCTTCACTTCGGTATTCCTCATCATGTTTGTCCAAGGGAATTTCCTCAAAGTCAAAGTCTAGTTGAAGGAGCTGTAAATTTCAAGGACATATATGTTACACTCAGTCACTTGGACAGACTTACGGTGATGAAGTCAGGATGATGGTCACTTCTGGAAAATGGCTGACTGGGAAGGGCAACATGGGAACCTTTTCAAGTCTTGAAATGTCCTGTATCTTTATGTTGGAGCAGTTATTTGGATGAAAATGCATGAGCTGAGAACTTGATATTCATGCATTAGACATGTTTTAACTAAATACAAATTATTTTAACTATACATAATTTCAAAAGTTCAGTAACATTTTCTCATATTCATGAAAAACATGGAACTCATTTTAGCATATGTTATCTGAGGGCGTCATAAGCCAAAGGAGTCCTTTCAGCAGGCCAAATTTCAGGATAATACAGATAGCTTCAAAATGAGCCAGTTTTTAATGGGTTGAATTTGTGCCCATAAAAGGGTCTAGGTCACTGCTTGGGGGAGAGTGAAGGGCAGATATGGGAAAGATAGGCACTCTTTTTACAATTTTAAAAATAAACGAACAACAACAAAACCCTAAAAATCACTAACTAGGTAAAATGTGTAATAAAAACATATGGGAAAACACAGAAGTAAAATTCACCACCTTCACATTTCTATCGTAAGACATCACTGATAAGCTTCCAAAGCCAGTCTTGTGTTGAGCAGTGTTGAAAACGGTCTCAGAAAAGACACGCTTGTCATGACCCGTCCCCGACCCTGTTCTGTCGAACAATACGGACTAGTGAGAACAGAAAGAAAAGTCGGGACTGGGAAGGTCAGGGAACAGCGGGTTCTGTGCAGAGGGTTGTGGAGGGTCCTCTCCTTGAGTTCTTATTAAGAGAAAGCTTTTCCCGAATGAAACTGCCAGAGCAGCCACTGACAGCGACAAAGATGGACCTAACCCAATACTCACCTCAAAATACTTTTTCTCAATTTCTGGATTTTTCCCCATTGTGCGCTGTTCATAACAACATATAATACACGTTTCAGATCCACTGAGATCCTTTAATGTTTTCAGCAACGGTTCCAAGGACTATTTAAAAAAAAAAAGTACAATTTTCAGTTTATTGCTTCAAGAATTTCCTATTATACAAAGGGGGTCAGGAGGTAAAGAGGTCAGCTGCCCTATAATCAAACCATTCTGAATCAACACAACAAAGCCATGTTCTAGAACTAGACTGGTAAACAACCACTGACTGATCAATAATTATACTGATTTCTATCCCAATCCCCCATCCAAAAAAAAAAAAAAAAAAAAATCTCAAGGATTAGATCTTGTTGTTTTCACTGGAAAACAAGCGGAATTAACTTTGTCTTTGTTTGTTTTGAACAAGGGTATATTATACAGACTAGGCTAGCACTGAACTTGCAGTGACCCCTCTATATCAGCCTCCCAAGTGCTGAGATTACAGGAGTTGTACCACCATGCCCAGCTAGATTCAAATCTCAAGTCTAATTTCATTTAGCCGAAGTTAATGTGGTATTTAAACAATCAACAAATATATCCTACAAAAGTAAGCCTGACCCTAATGGTTTAAAATTTATTTTTATTATTTTAATTATGTGAACGTGTGCTTCTGTGTATGGGTATGTGCACAAGTGTTAGTGCCTGCAGAAGCCAGAGGAACTGACCCCCTGGAGCTGGAGTTACAGGAGCACTGAGAGCCGCCTGACGTGGGTGCTGGGAATCGAACTCAGGTCCTCTGGAAGAACAGTATGTGCTCTTAACTGCTGAGCCATCTCTTCGGCCTTCTGACCTTAATTTGAACATCAGCTGGTTCAACAGTCATTAACTTACAAATAAATACTGCCCACCACTGTATAAAATGGTATGTAAAGAAAAAAATCATTCCACAAGTGTAATAAATCTTGTCACTAATTTTTTTTTTTTGGGGGGGGGGTGTTCACTCTGTGGCCTATACTGGCCTGGCACTCCTGGCCATCATCTTGCCTGGGCCTCCCATGTTCTGGGATGCCAGGTGTGAGCCAACCTGTCTGACTTGCATCTTAAGATTTCAATGTCATGGTTAACAGTCGGTGGGAGAGAAAAGAAAGAAAGAAGGGAGGGATTGATTGATTTTAATTTTTCATAATACATCCAAATGGGGAAATCCTTTTAAAATTTTACAAAAAGCCTCCGGTAGAATGCATGTAAGTTTTCTCAACCACTGTTCACAGGTCTCTATGCTTCTCCTGAATTGTATATACGTGGTAACTCTGTCCTCTCTTTACTGCCTCATCACCTAAACGACAAATATCCCACACCCAGCGATGCTACAATGTGAAGGAATGTGGGCTTAGGGGCACACGAAGCAGCCAGCTCACCGGACACTCACCTCTTCATAGTATATGCAGTCAGCCATTAATATGTAGTCTGGTGAAGTCACGTCTTCTAATTCTTCCCCCCTTAAAAATACCAAACGGATGTCTTTAACCGACGCTTTTAACAATTTATTCATTTCAGCAACGAGGAGCAGAAAGTTTCCCTCCTATTAACTATGCGTCGAGCAAAATGCAACTTAAAGCCACTGAAAGCGGTTATCTTAAAACAAGCTGAAGGGCCATACAAACCATTTCAGTACCTTGGCTTGAACAGACCCAGTCACAAGATGCTTGTTCATACTGATGTTCATTTTCAGCAGGTCTTGCAGCTCCTCGAGATCAGTGACTACAACATCTGCCCTAAAAGACAACCTCGATTGAGGCACGGGCGCCCGGCGGCACGCCGCTGACCCGCTGCGGGGCGCCCAGCGCCTTCCCGCCGGCTCTTACCCGAGGGTGGCGGCCATCAGCCCCACGGCCCCGGTGCCCGAACCCAGCTCCAGCACCGAGCGGCGACTCAGAGCGTGGGCCCCGCCGCCGGAGAACGCCGGCGTCTCCAGGTATTTGGAGAGGACGATGGCGGCGTCCCACACCACGCAGCCCACACCTCCGGAGCCGTACTGCTGCAGCCGAAGCACTGTCCCGTCCCGCTTCTCCAGAACCCGCACAAAGCTCCACAGCGGGTCCTCCGCCGCGGGCTCCGGGGCGGCCGCCATGGCTGCCGCCGCCGCCGCCGCCGCAGGCTGCCGCGCGTGGTGACGTCACGCCCACGTAAGGCCCGCGCCTCCCAGCGGCCGAGCGGCTGCCCACGGCGCGTGCGTGCGTGCGTGCGTGAGTCTCAAAGCCCGGAAGGCAGCAGAAGCCAGCAAAAGCTACCTGGGAGGGAGAGGCCGGGTTGGCTGCTACTGGCTACTACTACTCTTTGAGAAACAAAGCAAGTGAAAGAGCTTTTTCTTGGCTGGAGAATGGCTCACACAGAGCTGTTGACTATAGGGCTATAGGTCTAGGCAGCTTCCCAGGTCCTATCAAAAATGGTTATGTTCAAGAAGTTTCCTACTGTGCATCTACTTTTTCCAATGAGTGCATAAAAACAGATTGGCCGGGAACTTGCTACTTGCTTTCAGTGGTAAAGAAAAGTTAATCCTCTAATTTTACGTCCCCTGGGGCCAAAAGATGGCCAGCAAGACCAAGGGCCTGAGTTCCAGGACTACCTACCATAGTAAAGGAGAAAACTGCCTCCTGCAGGTTTGGCCTGACTTTCACACTGGATCTGTGGTATGCATACTACACAAATACACAAATGTGATAAAGAGACAGATGATAGATAGATGATAAACAGATGATAGATATAGATAGATAATATAGACAGATGATATAGATGATAGGTAGGTAGGTAGGTAGATAGATAGATAGATAGATAGATAGATAGATAGATAGATAGATAGAGTCTTCTAGATTTTCTTCTTTCAGCTTTGTGGGTTTTGTTTTGTTTTTGCATGGTCTCCTGCATCCCAAGTAGGCTTCAAACTCATTATGTAGCTGAGTCTGGCCTTGAACTCCAGATCCTTCAGTCTTAATCTCTCAAATGCTGGGATCACAGGCGTGCAACACTGTACTCAGCTTCCTTTTGTTCTTTGTGATGAAAAGAATATTGCAAATCTTTTAAAAATGAAGACTGAGGTGATTTATTAATCTTGTTAGAACTCTGATACAAAGCACAGTAAAAGGCCACAGACCAGCAGAGAACACCGTGGCTCTGGGCTACTTTACAACTGCTGCTCCTAAACGATCAGCACCACTCCGATCACTTTGAACAAGGGTGTCCAAACGACAAAAGCTTTATCCTGTTGGATTAAAAATTTTAATAAAGCTTTAAGTATTTTGTTTAAATATTACCAATCTGGAAAAACTTTTAAAAAATTTCAATTAACATGAGATTAAAGAAAGTTAATAGGTTTTGAAGAGAAGGCGGTTGGCAGTTGGTTCCTATGCCATAAGAAACATTGTTCTTGACTTACAAATTAGTAAAATAGCAGACTGTATTATAGGCCTCAAGTCACTTAAATTTATATAGGTTATTAGCATTATCTTTAAATATATACAATATAAATAAACTGTACATACATGGCATATTAACTTTGTTTTCTCAAACAAGAGGCAAATCATTAGCTAAAGACAGCATACACTGCAAAACGAAAGGCGCATCTTAATGAGATACATGCCCCTTTTCTTCTCTAATCGGGTCACATAGAATCGTTTATAATTTTAACAAAATAATAAACACAGTGCATCCTATTATTTCCATTCTATTTTCTGTTTTTGTCTTCAGCAGCAAATACTGGCAGTTAAGACATGGCATCAAAGGGTTTAAGAACAGGGGGTGTTATTCACTAGCGGTAAAAACCAAAGTTAAAACCCAGAAGAGGGTCAGAGAGGGCTGAGAACCAGTAACATCACAGTACATCCTGTATCTGTGTAAATTCACTGCCTTCAAAAGGCATCTGTTACTCAACCTGGAGAACCTCCTTGAGAAGTAACCCTTCAGTGCAGTCAGGACCATCCGAAGACAGGTTGGCAGAGTCTACAGTGCAAACAGGAGCTCATTATACTGGCCTTTGGGCAGCGCTGAGGAGCTGAGACAAGGCAAGGCTACTCCCCACCTGAGGGTTACAGTGAAGGGCTTTTGCATTTTAATTTTTAGAATTCTTTTCTTGGTTTTGTTTTTTTGAGAGAGGGTTTCTATGTGTAGCCATGGCTGTCCTGGTACTCGATCTATAGACCAAGCTGGCCTCAAACTCAGAAATTCATCTGCCTCTGCTTCCAGAGTGCTGGGATTAAAGGTGTGTGCCACCATGCCCGGCAATTTTTCTCACTCTTAAAAGCTTATTTGATCAGTAGCATTTTTGTAAGAGCATTATTTGTAAAAAGTACTAAAATACTATGCCTCTTTGAATAAATTAAAAATCTTTACAAATACTATTCCAGTGTCAATGACTACACATGGCTAAGGTCATTGAGGAGTTTCTGCATTTTCAAGCAAAGGCAGTCTGTACAAGGGCGGGTGTGAAAGCTCCCGTTTGTAAGTCTTTGGTGGCAGTTTTGGTAGGTGAGGGCTTGAATTCTGCCTTGGTGGAACAGGAGGAGCTGGAGGATGAGCAAGGTTGTTGTGACTGGAACTGAGCAAATGGCTTCTTCGTGGCACTCGTGGAGAGGGTGTGCTGGGAGGAGTGCTTGGTGAATTTGGACACGTACTAACGTCTCTGAACCAGTCTGGGTCTCTGTGAGGATGGCCCAGTGGAGGTGGCTGCAGATTAAATGGACAGTTTATAAAGTGTTCAGGAGGCCGAAGAGGAACTGGTGGGGGGGTATCAGGAAGAGGCTCTCTTGGCGGTGGTGGAGGTGGACTGTGCACAGGCCCATCAAATGCACCGGTGGGGACAGGAACTCTTGGCTTCACCTTTGGAGGAGGAGGCTGTCTTGGTGGAATAGCAGGAGGGTCGTCATCAGATTTCATAGTTCCCTAAACAAAACAAAAGGGGCATGTCTAGTCTCTCGAAAAATGTGTAAGCTAATTTTAAAAGACTGCAAAATTCTTCTGTGTCAAATTAAATCTAGAGGCCCAAATCAAATAAATGTGGTTAATAACAGGTTCCTGACTCAGTTACTTCCAGCTTAATTTGGGGCTCAGTTTAACACTTGAATGAATATATAAGATGGTTTCACTGAAATCTAAAAACATAGAGCCCCGTATAATCTTGCTTTGTTTCCAACATTTCAGAAATTTATAGTTTATTTATGGCAATAGGCCAATAAAAAGAAGAGTTTTACAGGAATGAGAGAACATGGTGTCAACAGTACTTAGTACCCAGCTTCTACTCACTGAACATCTACTTCCATTTTTCTCTATGGTGCTTAAATCAGTGGGTCTGTGAGGGAGATCCAGGACCAGCAGCATCAGTCCCATTAGGGGATGGCTTAGCATAGCCAAGTGCCAGGCCCAACTGCAGCCCTACAACCTGGGGCTCAACAACCTGCTTGTATAAAGTTTTCCAGATGATTCTGACATGCCCTTACCTTTCAAATAGGAATTCCAAACTCTCCCCCACCCTGAATATGTACAAGAAAGACAATGTACTTCTGATTATCTGAATTTTCCCACTTTTTAAATAAGTTTTTAAAAATCTATCAAACAACTACTTAAAGTATTTTTCAAATATGACAATCTAAATGTTGAAAATCTGTAGGGTGTGGTTAAATTATGATTGACACACTCTAAAAATACTCTAAAAACAAGTATGATTTTGGAGATTCACAACCCAAACCCAGGTCTGGATGACTACCTTGGAATGTGAAGTATCATGATCAACTTTTTTTCGAGGAGGAAGCGGAGGAGGAATCAGTGGCTCTTCACTCAGTTTGTGTAAACTTCCACACGAGCTGAAGAAAGTCTCTGGGGGGAGAAGAGGGGGCTGGTTCACATTCACAGGGCAGTTACAGGACAGAGCTGCACTACAACCCGTGGTCCTTCCCATTCAGTCAACGGGCTGTTCTCACACAGCTGCTTGTTGGCTCATCTATCTGCTCCACCGACATTCTAAGCGCAGAGGACACCATGTGCGTGTGTTTATGACCCTAGCATCTACCATGGCGACTGGCATGTGGTAGCTGTAATACTTAGATGAAGGCACATTATTAAAATTGATAAAGAAATTCTGAACTGGCCTTGACGGTGCAGGCCTGTAATCATAGCTACTTGAGATAGTGAGGAAGCAGGGTCACGAAGTTCAAGGACAGCCTGGGCAACTCAGTGACTGTCTCAAAATAAAAATTGTATAAAAGAAAAAAAAAGTTGAGTATATAGCTCAGTGATGGAACGCTTGCCTAGCATGCATGAGGCCTTAGGTTTGATGGTCAGCACTTTAAAAACAAAACAGAAACCCTCCTCTAAAAGCCTTTTAAAAATCCAAAACTCAGAAGGCAGAGCCAGGTGGATCACTGTTCAAGGCCAGCCTGGACTACCAAGTGAGTTCCAGGAAAGGTGCAAAGCTACACAGAGAAACCCTGTCTCGAAAAAACCAAAAAAAAATCCAAAACAAAATCCAGGTGGTGGTGGTACATGCCCTTAATCCCAGCACTCGGGAGGCAGAGGCAGGTCTTGAACTCTGTGAGTTCAAGACCAGACTGGTCTACAGATGGAGCTCCAGAACAGCCAGGGTTACACAGAGAAATCCTGTCTCGAAAAACCGACAAACAACAACAACAACAACAACAACAAAAAACCCAAAAAAACCACCACAACAACAAAAAAACAACAACCTGAAAATGTGTGTTGTATACATGTACAGAGGAAGACCATTCTAAACAGAAACTCTATTTCCAATATAAAACAAATCTAGTTATTATGCATAAGCAATCCCAAATTAAAATTTATAATATAAATACTACTAATGGACTCCACTTTATTTCAACCAACCACAGTAAGCAGATGTGCACATCTGATGAATTATTTAGAAAAGCATAATGAATAAACACCAATGTAGCAATGCCAAAGCATTAGGACAGTTAAAAATGAGTAAGATGCAACAGAAATGTATTTGCTATTTCTCTCCAATTTAGAAAGCTATGGGGCTTTTACTGGGTTTTGTCTGTTTGTTTTGTGGGGCCTTTACAGATGCTAGGCAAGCACTGTAATACTGAAGGGACATCCCTACTCCTAAAGATAGGCTTTTACAATTCTTTAAAA